GTGTCTCCAAGGAAGAAAACAGATATTTCCAGAAGGCTTGACAGTGTGAGTCGCGCCCAGCAGTGACTCCCTTAGAGTTCTTCCAAATCGCCCAATCATCGACCCTGTTCAGGGTTCACGTTTCCTTTGGTTACAGGGACGGGGTGATGCCGGTCACAAGGAGACAGGGCCGCGGCGGGAGGGGGTGCTGCTCGGTGGTGAAACCGGCCTAGAGAGGGAGAGTGGTACCACTGGTGGTTTTCTCGAGGCGAATTCCCCCAGCACGGCCGATTTCGAGCTCGCCGCTTGGAGCCAGAGGACACGAAGCGTCCCGAGAACAGTGAGCGGACCGAGGACACAGCGCTGCCTGCGGCGGGGAGGCACTGCTTGCAACACCGCAGCTCCGGGACGGGACGGGCGGTTCCACGGCCGCGGTCCTCTCGCGCGCAGTTCTGCCGGCGCGGGGATGAGAGCGCTCGACCAAGTCCTCTTTCTTTGGAAGGACGGGTGGGGGCGGGGGACTGTGGATTCGGAGCCGACGACCGCTGACAGCGCGAGCCCCGCAGGCTCTCCCCGGTCAGCAGGGAGACGAGGAGGGTCGGGCATCGCAGTGAATATCGGCAGGATCTACAGGAATCGTTACGATCATTAAGTTTTGACCGCGTCGCAAGATACACACAGATTTTACCGAGCTCTTGGCGTCACCTCCTCTTGAAAAAACTATCCGATTTGCTGTGCAGGCCACTCAGACTCAGCGGGATGTTTGCGGTCCGGTCCTGGTGGGCAGAGACTGTCGGAACAGATGCATCATCTGTGAGTGCGGGGTAGAAATGTACCGGTCATTCCCTGGGTCTCCTTTTATGGTTGTTTTGAACACCAGAACTTCTCTCGGTGCCAAAGGCGGGGACGTAAGCGTCACGGAGGAGGCACCAACCTGCTGATCACACCATGGAAGGGCACACGTCAGTGTCACGCTGACCGAGGGACGTCAGCCAAGGATGACTCTTTATTTTTGTTTCCCCTGAGGAATCCCGTGCGAATCGGATGATTCAGCCTTTCCGGCACGTAGTCCGCAGCCGTCCACCCCCTGCGCTGGGCGCCTCTGTTCTCTCTGACCGGAACTCACTCCCCCACCTTCTCCCCCGCTGGCCCCTTCCCCGAGGACGGGAGGAGCTGCGAGCTTCCTTTCTTCCCAGCGTGTTTCTGAGGGTCCGGCTGGAAGGAGGTGGCGCTACAGATAGCTAAAGGGTGTTCGTAATGAAACAATAAGGTGGTTTTGGAGATTTGCTCCTAAATGTTATTTAATGCATATGCGCTGAATATTTACACATTTCTCCATCTCTGGAGGTTAGGGTTCTCATCTTCAGGACGGAAATTATGGCAAACGCATCAAAGGCTTCCTGAAAGAATTAAACACGATCGCGTATGTCACGAGTGAACTGGCGTGTGGATTTACGAGCCGGCAGAAGGTCCGTGTCAGACAAGAGGGCATAGCTCAGGGGCCTGGAGCCTTCTGTTCAATCAGGACGGAGCCCGAGTGGATGAGCCGAACTGAAGCGTATTTCTTGTCAACACCTTCTTGTAAGACCGTCTGACGTTCTCAATGACGACTAAGCCCTTGAAGCGCCGTTCAGCGGCATCAGTGTTTTTAAGGAGTAACGATTCAGACGGTGCCTTGGAATCGTTTATAAGAGGGTTTTGATTTATGCAACCGACGGTGACTCCCGAAAGGCGTAGAAAAACTTGTGCCTCTAGCGTTAGAGTTCCGCCTGCCCTTGGCTGGCCTCCCTACTTTGGATAAGTAGTCCGATATCAACAGTGACCTGATGTTTTTATCGGGTTGGCACTCGGGAGGGTGTTTTCTCTCACGGAGAATTTATGGAGGGCCGCACAAGATCGGGTACTGAAAAGTCCCGCTGACACAGGCGCCGGCTCAGGGGTGCTCCGTAAATCTCAACTATAATAACTGTGGCCGCTCCCGGCGCGGTCTGATCGGAAAGTGATGCATAGGTGCTGGCAACGACGGACCCATTTTCCGTCCGGCGAAGAAGACGTTGGAACCTGACAGCCGGTGGTAGTGATGGGGGGTTGGGGAGGGATTTGTGTCTTTTCCCATAATGATGGGATTTTTGAAACGAGCAGGTCTTTTATTAAAGAAGCCCTACCAGGTCCTCTTGCGTTTGCATGAATCAGAGTCTGGCAGTTACGGGCCCGCCGGAATCCAGCCTGCATGCATCTTTCGTGCTGTCGACAGAGGGCTGGGTTGCTGCCGCTAACTCTGCTCGGAATGGCTGGTACCACTCTGGCCATCGTCATTGATTTAGGGGCCACCATTTACAGTTGTAGAGTTGTTTTATGAAAATACAAATGTCTGCCTTTCCCTGAAATGCTGAAGCGTCCCGCGGTGCACCGCCCATGTGTTCCTCTCTAGAGGAAGCGGGGTTTTGTTGGTTGTGTTTTTTATTTTATTTTATCTATTTTTTGTCTTCAGCTGTTAGCATTTCTGGGTGGCTGGCTTCTCTTGGAACTGATGAGGCAGAAAGAGCATGCAGCAGCTTACCTCGTGTCATTCCTTGGGCCCGGAGGCCGCTGACTGTGGGCGTTCCTTTCCGCCTCGGAGAAGCTGCTTTGTTGGCTGTGTGCGCGCTGCCCAGAGTTTGTAGCTGCTCAGCGGTGCCGGGCTCCTGCTACGACGCGGCCGCCCCGGCAGGCAGGGCGGGAACCCGCTCTGCCTCGGTCTCCCTCACCCGACGAGGGCGCTCGCGGCCCATGGCTGTGGGGCTTCCCTGTGGACCTCCTGGAGGTTTGAACTGTCTCCGTGTGCTGAGCCTTTGCTCCCAGGGGACGACAGGGCCAGGGTGCTGGGAGCTTCCGCCATGGCCCTTCGGTCAACTGGCCAATACCTGACCTTGTTTTAGGTGTGTTTCTGTTTGGGTGGGTTTCTGCATTATATCCGATTTGCTGACGTTGAACTTGTGGCCCATTGCACCATAGCTCACACCCCAAGGAAGTGGGCAGGGAAACTCACAAATGCAGAATCCTTGAGGAGGGTCACTCGCACGGGATTTGCAAACAGTTCCCTTCACTCTGTGGTTTGTCTTTTCATCGTCTTCACAGAGCATCTTGCAGAAGAAAAGTTTTTGATATTGATGACGTTGAATGTATCGATTTTTAAATTTCCTCATCATGCTTTAGGGTCAAGTTTAAGAACTCTTCGCTTAGCTCTAGATTCCAAAGCTGCCTTCTACTTTTTTTTCTTAAACGTTTTATCGTTTTACCTTTTGCCTTTAAGTCTGTGATATTCTTTGAGTTAGTTTTTGTATCAGGTGTGAGATTTCAGTTGAGTGTCTCGCTGGGGTTTCAGTTTGGCCAAGGGATGTCCCGTTCCTTCGGGACCATCTATTGAAGAGGCTACTTCCCTTCATTGGATTGCTTTTCAGCCCTTGTCAAAACCGCCTGGGTGTACTTGTGCTCCTGTTCCCGCCAGGTGCGGGCAGAGAGCCCGGCTGCCCACCTGGCCCCCGCGTGCCGCAGGGCAGGTGGGGTTCTCATCACTGTCCATCAGTGGTGAGCACCCGCCTCCCCGCTCAGACCCTCTCTCGCCAGGTGCGGGCACCGGCCACAGGGGCCTCTCGGTTTTACGTGGTCTCCGGCGCGGCCGATGGAAGTGTCGAGCCACCACTGTCTAAAAACTGTCCATCGTGCTAGGCTGCCCCTTTCAGGTCCTTTCTCTAGAGGAAGCAGGGTTTTGTTGGTTGTGTTTTTTATTTTATTTTATTTATTTTTCTGTCCTCAGCTGTTAGCATTTCTGGGTGCTTGGCTTCTCTTGGAATAGGTGAGGCGGAAAGAGCATGCAGCAGCTTACCTCATGTCATTCCTTGGGCCTGGGGCCCCTGGAGTGTGTGCCTTCCTTTCCACCTCGGAGGAGCTGCTTTGTTGGCTGTGCGCGCTGCCCAGAGTTTGCGGTGAGCTTAGTGGGAAGGCTAGGAAGCCGTATGTCCACACAGTCTTTCTTGGAAGCAGACATCAGGACAGTTACCATTGTACAAACCTTCCATGTTACAGAAACAAAACCAAATCCAGAGCAGTTGTGTGATGTGTGCAAAGCCACACAGCCCTCAGACGATGTGGCCCAAGCTACAAGAATCCAGTGCCAGGGCCCTTCGCCCTACATTTCCTCAGTTTACTACAGGTGTGTCAACAGAAACACTCCACACGTACGTTCCCAGTGCAAGGACATCGACGGCGAAAGAGCCCCCGGCCATGAGCTCAGCGGGCCGTGGGCGTGTCCATGGTCCCTTTCCCTCCCGCTGCACTCTGTCTCACTCACGTGCTGGCTCGTCATCAGTGGGAGGGGAGAACAGTTATGATGGGAGAGATGTGCCCGGTAGCACTCGAGGGAAAGGGCCGTTAACCCCGAGGCGCAGAACTGCAGAAGATGCTTCCACACCTGCACGCAGAGGACTGCTCCCAGGGTGTCCCGGTGACGCAGGAGCCCACACAGTGTCACAAGGGGATGGAAGTTGGAAACCGGACTGGCAGATTGAAGACGAGCCAGAGAAATGCCCTGGGCGTGGTGTCCGGCTGTAACCCAGAACGTGCAGCTCAGCTGCTGAGCTTCTAGAGCAAGTGCCTGTCCGTGGTGCGAGAGTGACTCCGTCTCCATGCGTGTTCTACCACGGAACAAAGCCCCACACAAACACAGTCTTTAGTCTCTGGCTAAAGAGAAACCACTCCGCTTCGTGTCCCTGTGCCGTGCGACCTGTCTGTCCCTTTTCCTGCCCCCATCCCCAGCAGCCTGTGTGTGCCTCCCGTGATCTCAGGTGCGCCCGGCCTCCCGTCCGGGTTGGCCCACTGCTCCTGCCGATGGACCGAGCCCCCTCGACGGCACATGCTCACGCCCGCTGCCTAGAAACACCCACGGTTCCCTGTGACCTTAAGGGTTAAGACGCGGTGATTTCAGAAGAAGCCAACAGAAAGAAGTGTGAGCTTCAGCCGCCTGTCCTCTGCTCTTTCCTTAGGTATTACCAGATCCGAGTGACCTTGAAGGTGCCCTCCAGGATCGCCCACAGACTGAGTGCCTCGCTCCTTGGACAGACAGGTGAGCAGGAGGGTGGCGGTGGGGCGCTCGCCGCCAGCGGTAGACCGGCACTGATGGCTGTGCGCGAGGGCTCAGCGCAGTGCGAGGTACACAAAGACACTCGGCGAGTCCCTGCTGGCAGCTGCATGAGTTTAGAAATGGAGACTCGCCGTTGGTGTGGCCATTGCATGTGCGTTGTTGCAAGGGACGCCTGCTAGAGGAAACACCGTCTCAGGCGATCTGGTATAAAGCTGGCCAAGGGGAGTGTTCGCTGAAGTCACACCGGGGAGGAAGAAGGTGGAAACGGCAGAGCAGCTCGGGGGTAGGAGGGAGCCCTGCTGTCAGAGGGAGCTGGATGCTCAGCCGGGCGCAGGGGCCGAGTCAGCAGGCGTTTGAGGGGGAGTCCGATGCCACACTCTCAGCTCGGGGCACGACTGCCGAACACAGTCCGTGTTCGAACTGGGGGCGGCTGGCGTACGGGCGGGTGTCCGGGGCTCCCAGCAGGTATTCAGTGTAATAGAGCTTTGGGCCAGAAATAGAAACCTCATTCCGTAAGCAGTAAGGTGGGGCAGTGAGATTATGGCCTGGGAGAGAGATTTACATTCGTAGATTTGGGAGAACGTGCCGCTCAGCCCGACCTCAGGGAGAAGGAGACGCATTTCAGGATGGAGGAGAGAGAAAGTAAGGAGATAAAAACATGGAACTACGGAGAATCTGTTTCGCTTTCACCGGACAAGTGAAACTGGCCAAGAATGTCCAGTAGAGATAAGAGTTCTAGTTATAGCCACCGTCCAGAAAGTTCTTTTGTGATTAACAGCCAACGGCTTGGCTGTCAGACCACCCACTGTGGGAGTTGTGGCACGGTGAGCAAAATTGCCTGCATTTACTTGAATTCCCACCACGTAGGAGTGTACACGCCCTGGTCTGCTCCGCTCCCCCTTGGAGGAGGCGTGCGAGCTGTGGGAAGGGTGGGGCAGGTCCCTCGGGTCACTCAGAGGACGTCCAGGGGACTACAGTGGTTGCCAGGCATCAGGGTGACTGGGACCTGTGCTCCAGAAAGAGGAAGGCGCTGGACACCTCCTGCTCCTCCCCCGACTCGGGCAGAGTCCGGTGTTAAACGCTAGTCAAGCTGCCACACTGCCAAGCTGTTTCTTCTCCTCCACGCTCCTCCTCTCTCTGGGGAAGAAGTCGGGCACCCGAGACGGCGGCCACCCCCAGCTCTGCCGTGGCCTGTGCTATAGCCCCGCCCACCCCAGTTTCTGCCAGAAGAACTCGGCTGAGAGTAGGGGGTGTGAACCCTGACGTTGTATGAACTAGTCGTGTGACCTGGGGCCATGGCAACTTGGAGCTTCCTTTCCTCACCCGAGAAGTGGCTAAAAGTCCGTCCTCCGCAGGCTCCTGCCTTAGAGCGTACAAAGGAAAGCCTGTTTTGCGTTCCACAGAGGTTCTAAGGGCAGAGGAGCCGGGGCAGGACCTGGCCCCCGGTGAGCGTCCCATCAGTCCGGCCTGTACGTGGTCCCGGGACCGGGGCTGCGAGGCCGGCGGGCCCTGTGCATATATATGGACAGGACGCCGACTCGGGGGTGACACCTGGAAGTCGGGTGGGACTAACGCCCCGATGTTCTGATGGAAGCCATCCCAGGCTGGCGAGGACTCCAGGTCTTCTGTGACTCGGTAGAGCGGCAGCAGCCGAGCCGCGCTGGGAGCTGAGAGGCCCTTGCCGTGAGGACCAGGGGCCTGTGGGGCCCCTGGCAGCGGGCAGAGCCCGGCGGGCAGCCTGGCGGGGGGGGGGGAGGGAGAAGGATGAAGACAGGGCCATACAGAGAGAAAGGAAAGAAAAATGAAATGCAATTGCGGGTCAAAAGTGATGTTCTTCCTTGGTGTAGTTTGACACGGGGTCATTAGGAGGCGTTCGGTGCCCGTGAGTCCCACGCGAGGCTGTTAGAGCAGGAGGCTGGCGCAGGCCAGCCGCAGCCGCAGCTACGGTGAGGCCCCTCCCCGGCCCGGCGGGAGCGGGCGGCGTTTCCGATGGCTTCCTCAGAGTGGACTTCCCGCCTGTGTTCTTTCTGGCTAGACATCGCTGCGTTATACAGGCCTCCAGACCTTAGTGGCTTAAAACACTGATTCTTTTTATTTTTAATCTAATTTTTATCGTATTTTTGCCATCACCATTTAGTCCCCTTATATCTCCCTCCCGCTGCAGTCACCACCACCCTGGTGTCCGCATCCGGGAGTCCTTTTTCCTTTCGCTCGATCCCTCCACCCCTCTCCCCCGACTAGCTGTCATCTGCTCTCCATCTGTGAGTCTGTCCCCATTTTCCTCGCCAGTTTGGTTTGTTCGTTAGATCCCACATAGGAGTGAGATCGTGTGGTTTGACCGGGGGGCTCGGCCGGGCACTCAGGTGCCGCGCTGTGCTGCGGGCCCCGTGGAGGGGCCGCATCTGAGACGTGTTCGTTCGCCGGGCCAACCCCGCATTCGGGCGGCTGGAGCGCTTGAGGGAACGCTGGGCTTCCGTCCCGTTGGGTGGTCTGACTTCTCACGTGGCAGCCCAGTTTCCCGGGGAGGAAAGAGAAAAAGACTGCAGGTCTCCTCAGGCATAGGCTGGGGACTGGCACGGGGCCACTCCCCCACACTCCATTGGTCAGGGTCCCTGGCAGGGCCAGTCTGGCTTGGAGGGGAAGGGAACCCTACTCCACCCTCCACGGGCTCCCTCTGTACGCACACAGAGCGTGGGGGGCGGGGGGGAGCGCCCACTCACACTTGCAGGCAGTCATCCAGACGAACGTTCTACTTCCTGCACGTGCTTCTGAGTTAAAGGAAATATATATATACATATATATATATACACACATATATATGAATGAATATATATGAGACATATGATTAGACAGTGAGGCATGACATATTGACAAAGAGCCAGAAAGAGTTAAAACATACTCGGCGTCCAATGATGCCCGACACTCATTAGTTGAGTGGTCTCATTGGGACGAATGATTTCAGGGGGCTTGTCTGCCTGTGTCCAATGTGAAAATAGAAAAAGCTTGCTGTACCCAGAGCAGCAGAGTGCAGGGGTGGGGAGGCCACCGACTCCGGGCTTTCTGGGTTCAAATCCTTCTCCAGGTTCAGATCCTTCCCCAGACACTTCCCCGCTGGGCGGATTTGGACACGCGATTTAGCCGGCTGGTCTTCAGGCCCCGCCGCTGTGCAGGGGGGACGGCAGGCTGTGGTCGGGCTGAATGACTCGGGCACGGAAGTGATCGGACGGTGCCAGCTCGTAATAACCATTAGCTGGATGAGGTGGCTGCTAGGCACAGAGGAGCTGTTGCCTTAAGGACATTTTGCTGGTCCCGGGACGCGTCCCTGGGGTGCAGAGGCTGCCTTCCTGGCCTGGAGGAGCCGGGCCTCTGGAGTGGGGGGGTGGACAGAGGTGCCACAGGGATACAGCAGAGGTAGAAACTGAGACGGGACCTCACCTGAAGCCTGGAAGGACCAGGCGAAGTGGCCCCACAGATACAGGTGGGAAAGGCTAGACCGGGCAGAAGGGACACCGTGACCTCTGTCCCCAGGACCCGAACAGAGCAGAGCGAAGGCGTTTATGGTATGACAGGTGGCGGGCGGTAAGAATGAGCCGAGCTGAGAAGGGGCACGGAGGGTGCCAAGGCCCTGCCGGCCCTCCGGGCAGCTGGATTCGCTTTCAGAGGCACGGCCAGACTCAGTGACATTGCTGGGACGACACGAGCCCCGCGCTGCGCCCGAGCACGCTGTGGTCTCTCCAAGGAAGGGGCAGAGTTCCGCACTTCGGTTCTCCTCTGCAACCTGCCCGTGCTCCGGCAGCCACGCTGCATGGGAACGCACTGCAGTTCTGCGGACGGCTGAGATGCGGCTCCTCCAGGTGCAAAACAGTTTCTCACCGAGTTTTCTGAGCTAGATGTTTATGACTCGATCCCGTGAAGAGGGAAACATCACGATTCCCCGTGCGAAATGCAGCCACAGCTCGCATCTCATTGTGTTGTCTTTTATCAGTGCTTTTAAAAAAGGTGATCTGGTGGGGGGGCGGTTTCTCTGGAAACCCAGGCTTTGTTCTGGTCCGAGTCCGTCGTGTGTCTCGGGACAGACCGTGACAGGCTCTGAGCTCCCCCAAGTCAGGAGCGGACCTCCCCCGGGCGCTCCAGGAAGACCCCAGGCGCGGCGTTATGGAAGGGATACACATGGGGACGGGCGGCCGCGCTGCAGCTGTGACAGCGCGTCAGAGCTGCTGGTGGAGCTGGGAGCGCGGTGCAGAGGGAGACGCTCTGTGCAGGCGTGGGAGCCGCGCGGAGCGCTCGGCCTTCAAGTTCAGCACGAGTCTCAAGTCCACGGGGTCTTGGTCGTCCCCAGAAATAGAAAAGCATCCCGCGCAGGTGAGCCTCTAATGAGTCACCGAGGCCGGGACGTCCTTGGCTCTTCCAGCACATCAGAGGGAAAAGTGCCTGTGGTGTCTTCCAGTTGTGCTCCTTGAACTTCCGTGCAACGGAGAGGGTTAGATGGAGGAATCCGGTGATTAGGGAGGCAGGTCCGACGGCAGACTCACAGGCACATCAGCGTCCCCGTCCTCTACTGCAGAGCCACTCGGCGGTGCCAGGACCAGCCCTTCCACGTGGGAGCCCTGGCTTCCCTTTCACTCTGACGGGGCTCCTGAGGCTTTCTGCCTGGGGCGGCGGGCTTGGGGGCCCAGGGGGCGGGGGAGGGCCCGGCTCAGTGCTTGACCGCAGCTGGGGGAGCAAGCGCAGCTGCCGTTCTCCCCTGCTCACACGGACGCTGGCCGGGACCCCAGGACTGCCTGCACAGGGAGCTGACAGGGGCGTCCCTGAGTTGAAGGTGACAAGGGGGGACGTTGAAACAGGGCTGTCTGACCTCACTGAGGCAAAGGGAGCCCGCAGCGTGGCTGAGGGGGGCTGAGGCTGCCCGGGCAGGGTGTGGCTGCACGTGACGGCTGAAGACCGGACAGGAGGATGGACCCTGAGGAGGCTGGGCCCACCGG